TCAAAAAAAAAAAACACCTAACTAACAAAGAAAGTTTTCATATGCTGGGTAAAAATAAGATTGAACATTTAATATCTGAGAGCCGTCGGTTAACTGTAATTAATCATAATAAACAAGTGAACATAAACAGATAAATATTAGCTCATTTAATCGATGTAGTTTGTTTTTTAGGGAAACAAGAAGTGACATTCCGCGGACATCGCGAGAATGAAGGTTCTTTAAATAAAGGAAATTATTGTGAAATTTTAGATTTACTTTCTAAAGAAGAGCAATTTATAAGAGAACACTTTTTGACAAATTCTTTTTTTAAAGAACTTCACACGACATACAAAATGACTTGATTCATTGCGTAACTACGGTATTAAATTCTCATATTTTAAAAGAACTTCAAATTATAAATTTTATATGAATACAAGCCGATAAAATTACGAATGTATCATGTCAATCTCAAATGAGTTTAATTTTTCGTTATATTATTGACAATAAGATCGAAGAATGATTTATAGTATTTTTTGATGTTTCCAAAAATAAGACAGCGGCTGGCTTATTCGAAGTTATTCTAAATGAACTTTCTAAGTGGAATATTGGTAAAAAAGTTGTGTGTCAAACATGATGGTGCTTCTATTATGGCTGGTGAAAAAAATGGGATGCAGTCAATTATACAAAATATTTATCCAATGGCTATTTTTATACATTATTACGCTCATCAATTGAATTTGGTTCTACTTCATGGAGCAAAAACAATAAAAGATGTTAAATTATTCATAGAAAACCTTACTATTTTCAAATTTTTTAGTGGATCTTCTAAAAGAAGTGTCTTATTAAGAGAGCAAGGATTTAAATTACCAAATCAACGCAATACACGTTGGAATTATCATTCAAGAGCTGCTGTAACTATAAATACTCATTTCAATGAACTAAAAAATGCCGAATCTCATGTAGTTGATGACTCTGACTGGGATTCTACTTCTGTTTGTACTACATCTGATATATTGAGTAATGTGAACAAACGAAAATTTGTTTACTTATTTGTACTTTTTAGTAAAATATTTATATTTACTGATCACACATTTTGTATTCTACAAAATAAATCAACTACTGATATTAAATATTGTGTTAACAAAATTAAAAGTCTTACTTCGCGGATAAAAGATTTGAGAAATGAAACTTCCATACACGATATCATAAAATTTTCCGTTGAATTAAACACAGATTTAAAGTATACAAATGAGGAAGGATCTAATTTACGTCGAATTACGTTTGAAATTATTGATTCATTAATTGTTCAAATAAATATTAGATTTAAAGATTTTAAAAAACTAAAGTTTGTTGAAATAATAAATGAAAAAATGTTTGAATCATATAAAGTTCATTTTCCAGAAGAAAAATTAAGACAACTTTTTAAATACTATCCAGATATTTTTAATAAAGATCGTCTAAGGAATGAGCTTTACATAATATATGCAGATCCATTGAAATATTTCACTCCTTTGGAATTTATTGATTATATATTTAAAAGTAAGAATCTGAAAAATTTCTTAAATATTGTTACTAATTTTTCAAATAAATTATAATTATAAATATTATTTTAGATAGGCTTCAAGAAGTATATCAAGAAGTCACGAAACTTATTCAATTAGTATTAACTATTCCTGCAACAATAGCCTCAAGTGAAAGATTCATGAGTACTTTAAAACGTATCAAATCCTTTTTAAGAAATTCAATGACAAATAATAGGCTTTCATCTTTGTCTACTTTAGCTATTGAAAAAAAAAAAATGTTAGGTGAATTATCAAAAGATCCAACATTTATAAACAGTGTAATAGATGTGTTCGCAAAAAAACAAAATCGGCGAATTGATTTAAATTATATTCAAATCTAGTTATTTTATGTAATTTACTTTTTTTATGATGATCTAATTTTTAAATAAATTTTATATAACACCATATATTTGGTTGTCTTGTTGTCTACCCTATAAAATTGTTCACGCGCCACCACTGTTTGTTATGTATTTCCGTCGCCGCCTGCCTATAGTTACCACGACGAAAACAATTGGTCGAGAATTTGATGGAAAATATTAAAAAAGAAAGAAAAAAAACAATGTATGGGAACTCCTTCAGAATTACATTTTACCGGATAGAATCAAGGCTTAATATTATTATCTATAAGTCTTTGGGCTATAAATGAACGAGGAGACCGCATTGTATACTTATTTAAGCAACATATGACCATGGCTAATAAATTTCAATTTTAAATTTACCGGAGAGAAACACATTTTCTTATGCATGTGGTTATATAACGAAGAAATGTTTAGAAAAGCATATATGTGCTGATATATATATGATATATATATATCATATATATATATAGCATATAAATATATATATATGACTGTAAAAATTATGTTCGTCATCAAAAACAGTTAAACCAGTTACTTCTTTTATGTTTTTTTAAAGCATATGCTACAAGTGATCACTCTACATTTGGAAACCTAATGATGCCTCATAATAATTTTTATTGTTTTATTTTGAGTTAGAAAATATTTTTATTAAATTATTTTCTTTTAATTCCATAGAAAATAGAGTTGGTTCCAAGTTGAAATTTAATTTTAGTAATGTTCCTTTTAGTCACCATGTAAACTTTTCAACAAATCTTTTTTATTAAATTTATATATTAGATTTAGAATTTTTACAGCAGTTAAATGTTTAAATAAAACTTAAGTTTCCGAAAAATAAATTAAATATATAAAACTAACTGTCTTATCCCATTTATAATTTTTAATTTGTTGTTGTAATTATCATTTATTAATTATTTATAGGTAATCATATGTCATGTCCCACGTACTAAATAACAATAATACCATAATCACCTTGCATTGCATATGGATATGCAAGAGTTAGGTTAGTTACATATAATAAATTAACTCTTTTAAATATTAAACCACATCTATCAAATGCCATACACCACACAAAGTTCCAGCAAGGAAATAAATAAATGAATATTGATTGTTAACCACATCCACATTTCACACAAATGTGATCTAACGAGGAAACATTATTCAAATAATCACATATATGAGATACATTAAGCTACACGCATGATCACAATATACACTTTAACTCAGAATCAATAAGGAAGTATCATATTTTTATTATCATTTTCATATACACACATACACTCGCATATATCGGGTATAAAAGAAACCCGAAAACAAGGGCAAATCAAACAAGTTTTGGCTATGCGACACTGAGCACCTTCACGCTAGTGTATGTCATGGTTTGGACTTAGAAACATTTTAAATATTTATAATTTGTTGCCTCCGTAACATAGTGGCCGGTCAACGAACCGTATATATCACCGCGGTCGGACACACGCACAATTATCTGTATTATAGTTTATTTATTTTTGTTATTAATTGTGTGTGAATTATTTAAATGAAGTAATTCCCAACGCGTTATCGGTCATCGGCGCGTTATCTGCGTCACCGGCTCGTCGGTGCGTGTATTTTAATACAGCCGCCTCAAATTTTTCTTTTCCACCGTATGTCGTCGTGAATTATCCGTTGCGTTGTTGCGAACAATTTTTCCTTTTACAAATTTGTTATAGGCACGAATTGCCAGTATTATTATTATCATTTTTTATTATATTATTTTATGTGCGCTAATCGCCGGGAGTTTTTTATATTATAATTATTTATACGTGCGCGAATCGCCGTAATATTTATTGTTTGTTTAATTTATTTTTATACACATTTACGTGTGCGCGAATCGCCACTATTATGTTGTGAATTTTATTATATTATTATTGTGTGTGTGCTAATCGCCACTATTATTATTATTGTATTTTTTATTTATATTGTATTTTAAAGTATAGGTTTTAGGTAGTTGTAGCTGGCCAGTCTGCGCTCCACAAACTGTGAGTTTTTATTTATTTTATTATTTAATTATTATTGTGCCATAAGGGCCATTATTATTATTATTGATTATATTGGTCGTGCCGAATCGGCATTTTAGTTAGGCTTAAATAGCCAGAGTATATATTATTATTATTATTATTTATACAATTTACGTGTTGCTGTGAATTATTTTTTGTTATTACCATATTTATTATAAATTTTATAATTTATTGTTGGGCCAGAAGGGCCGATTCCTATAATTTATTTTACAATACAGCAACATAGTTACCATATTATACCAGTTATCATTGAGTTACCTATTGTCATTAGTTTTAAGCATACACACACATTACAATATACAACATACATACAATCGGTCGGTAGTGTGCGACACGCACAAGTCGGTGTCCGGGAGTGCGGCATATTATTTGTAGCACCTGGCCCAAACATAATTCTTAGAAATCATTTTAATAATTTAATAAGCCAACTAATCATAAAGAGTATTAATTATTTCATCATTATACCTACATCCAAGCGTTGACTAGATTACTAGTATCTGAAATAATGATCAAACGGTTGGCACGCAACACATATAATCCGAAAGAAAATTATTTTTAACAATTTGTTATTATTATTTGTATGTCTTTCATTACCTACCATTTGTAATGCATTTTGATTATATACTAAATAATACATTAATCAACAGAAATTAAAAAGAAAATGCAATTTTGTTGATTTATTTATTTTTTTTACCATTATTATTTGGCTTGTGTTAAAAAGTAAAATCCTTTTTATTAAAGATTAATTATATATTACAATTAGTAAATATGTATCACAGAATAGATTTAATCTATTCTGTGTATGTATGTTTATTTACATTATTCAAGAAAAAGCTAACAATATTCTTGGTATCAGAAAAAATATTGTACACCACTGTCTTTATTGTATTTAAAATATTTCATACTAAATTTTAGGTCTACACTGATGAGTCTTTTCAATATGGCGAACCATATTTTAAGACGGCCATAAAAGCCTGTGTGATTTCTTATCGGTTTTCATTCTGATTTAATCTATTCTAGGGTCTGGTTTTCCAAAGTCATACACATAATTAAATATTTTGTTATATATTAACTATTTTATACTTGTTTGTACAATACTAAATTGTCTAAAACATAATGTACTTAAAACTTATTAAACAAATTACAATTTAAATATGTCGATAACATTAGTGAATCATTTTTACCCGATACGGAGTCCATAAAAGGACACTCAGGACAGTCCTGCCTCTATCTGATTGTACTTCATCACACATTTGTAATACGAAAAAATTAACTACTTATTAAAATTCAAGATTACAATTATTTTGAAATTATTAAGCAATTTTTTATTGAGTCTTTATGCAAGATATTTATGAAACGTTTTGTAAAATACTAGTAACTGTAGTAATATAAATGGAGTTATTGAGACACCAGAGCTTTCAGAAGGTTTAGGTTCATTTAAAATGTGAATGTATGTTTCATATTCTGGTGCTATTGGTGATTGGTGTTCATTAAACTGATGGATGGTTTCCAATTTTTCAGTATCAACCTGCGTGCAGTTATAAAGTTAATTTCATATATGTATTATGATAAGAAAATTAGTATTTTAGAATAATGACACATACAACATATTTATTTTATTATATATATTTTAATAGTTATATTTATATTATATTTATATAATATATATTTATATATTTATATTATAAATATAACTACTAAACATTTGAAATATTAATTTTACCGGAAACAATGGATCAGAAAAATCATCAAATGGTCCATATATGGAAAACACGGGGGGTATTAGATTGACTGTTTTACTCTTTCGTCCAAAAATGATGTCCATATTCATTAATAATGAAATAATTTCTCTTTTAGCATTTCGAGAAATATTCGGTTTTATTAAAATCTAAAAAGCAGTACACATTTGCACACAATTATAGTTTAATTAATTAATTAATCTAAATTGTAATATACTTTAGCCGTAAACTTACATGTCCAAAATTCGACCAGGACATAGGACAATCTACAGAAGAATTCATTTTGCCATTGCAAACAGTTGAGAAATTATGAGAGTTAAAGTTATTTTGTAAATTCAATGGTGATCTTAAAATATCTATAAAATATAATGTAATTAGTGCTTTTATAATTCGTTATATTATTATTTTTTATATTTACTTAAATATTGATCAATGTGAAGAGTGTTGATAAATGCTACATCTCCTCCACCTTCAATAATGCATCGAAGTGTTTGCGTTTCAATCCACATTCCATTTTTATTACTGTCTTCTGGTAAAACATCTGAAGATTAAAAATGTTTACTTATTTATCAGATAATTTGATTACATTTATACCTAACCATCAAAATCACACTCTGGTATTATATTTTTATCAGAACTCAGCATTGCACAACTTTCTCCGAAAAACTTAGTTATTGTTTCATTAGTAGGATATTGTTCGATGCCCTCCAACTTTAATGATAGTAAAAATGAATTCCAAACTAAGAATTTAAATGTATATTAATGTTGCGAATGAAGAAATTTAGAAGTTTAAAATATTACCATAGCCATCGAACAATGGAAAACATGCTTTTTTGCCTCTTAACTGTTGGAAAGTATGTACTACCTTTTTTTTCAACATAACTGCGCTCATTTTTCGATATAAACGGTGATAAATTGAAGTTGCGTAAAGTATTGGTTTTGAAACACCATATTTTCTGAAGTTTAATTAATTTTTATTAGTTCTTTAAGTTGATTACTATTAAGTTAGCATGTACCTTCTAAAAATAGCAATTTTATCTGCATCTAATATAATTATTTCTACTTTGCCAGATTTTAACGTTTTTCCGCAGTCTGAATCCATAACACAATTCAATTTAGGCTGTATTCCATAAGCTATTGATATATCAGAAAGTACTTGGCACTTTTTATAAGCTGTTATTGTTTCAATACATATAGAAAATGAACGATCTTTGCACAGTTGGGCTTTTTCTTCAGCATCCATATATCCTGGAGCTGCTAAGAGATAATCTCTAGGGCTAACAATGTTAATAGTTGAAGTAGGTTCAGAATAGGATCCAAGTAAGTTGCTTAATGCCCATTGCCACATCGTTATGTTGCTTAGTTTATTAGCTGTATTTAAATAGTTGATCAATTCTTGAATGTTTACAGATGTTGAACTAGAAATGATTTTAATAATTTGAAAAATAATTTTTTTCAGTGAAACCGTTGGATTCGTTTTTCATTTACTTTTTTGCTATTACAACTGGCCAAGGTCGAGATACCCAAGTACATGGATTTGTACTGTCCAATGGCTGTATTGAACCATTTGAACACAGAAAACTTATTTTACCGCAAGCATTTGTACTATCGCCCTTGAATGAAAATAAAACGATACGTGTAGTTTTGAACTTATAACTATAGATAAATGGCTAAGAAAAATGTATTACTATCATATCGATTTTATTTACTTTGAAATGGACCCTAACGTCGGAAAGCCTGGCCCAGCTAATATCTCCATAACAATCGCTTAAGCATTGCAATGCTCCTTGTCTTCCCCAAAACTGATCATTACCGTTACATTTTGACGGATTTTGACAATTTGAGCATAGTTTTGGATATTTAACTTCTAAACAGGTTAAAATGTTTACAAATATAACTTATTGTTAGCAAAATGCTTATGAAACATTACTGAGTATATTATCCGTGTCGGGATCTGGATCCCATTGACCTGGCTTGCAAGACTCGCCGAAGAATTGAGAAAGAGATTTTAATTGATTTTCCATTAGACTTAATTGTGGATCGCATTTTTGTGGAACGATAACTCGTTCGAAGTACTTGAATGATCATTAATATTATATATTCATAATATACATGGTTAAAAATAATTATTAGTAAACCGCAACAGACTGTTGTGACTATTGTCAACAGTAGGTAAATTGAGCTGTTAAAACATGTTTCCGTATTTTATCAATTGCGAATCGTTGACTTGTATTAATTTTTAATTTCAGTAAAATATTTCAGAACTCTATTGTAAACATCAATTTTTCGTTAAATTCCTTTATTTTACTTACATTTTTATAATTAAATGTTATTCTTTTTATTGTATAAATTAATTACGCAGACAAAATAAATAATAATAGACCCTCAACATACAAAAATTAATTATAATATATTTTCTTAATTAAAAAAAGTATCTAGCAATGAAGATTTTTTAAAACCACAATCAATGAAATAAGAAAATATAATTCCTCTACAAATTCATTCCATGGTTATGTATATATATATATATATATATAGAGTTTATTATAAATTTATGAAATCAGAATGTACATCATATACGAGTACTTTACATTGAAAAATTATATATAATTATGTGAATTCCAATACTTTAAACTGAGATTTTAATTAACTTTGTATGGTATTTTATAAGACCGAATGTGTTAGAATTTGTCTTACCTGAGATATTAGGCTAGACCATCCAGTTCCTGCTTCTCCTTCAAAAAGTCCCGGATGACACAATCGTTTTCCTCTTAAATCATTTAAATTTTTAATATTGGCATCTTCGTTAATCAAAACCACCATATCATAATCAAATTTGGCTGAAAAACATTAAGTTATTATTTTAATATTATTTTTATTTCTATTGACAATTACTTTAACTAGTCGCATTTTTAGATATTTTTTTCAAAAAATTTTGCTTTATTTTAATTTTTTTAATAAGCCGATTTGACAGTATATTACTTATTAATCTTATTTAAATCAAATTTCTGAAAACATAGGTATTCACAAAATATTTTGAATAGAAATTCGTTTATAAAAGTAATTGTGTATATCAATTACCTTTAATAATACATGTTCTACGTCATAAATGATTTCAAAATTACAATTTATAAATAGTAGATTTTAAGCGCAGTGGGGCATATATGCATAGATATCAGAATGATTTTTGGATGATATGTGTTGTGTAAAAGTTTTTTGTCAACATTTCATTAGTTAGGATTCTAGAGAAAATTAACCTTTTGCTTCTTGAGAGCTAATTCTTCTCGGTGGTTTTCGAATATATATATATATAAGATTAATATATAATTGTATATAATTAATAATATTAATGTTGGTTTTATTTAAATACAGTGACGGTATTGTAGGTGAAGTGGTACCTAACTTAACTTTTGGAGGAAATAATGCTCAATTATAATTTTTCTTATTTCCTGGATGATTTCTGGATCATTCCTAGATTTCTTGGACTAACCGATAGTCCAAATTGTTTAATCAATTTCAACCAATATTTATTTTGAATTTTGAATTTAAATCGAATTTTTGAAGCAAAAATAATTATAAATCATAATTAAAAATTAACGATAAAATAATAGGTAGTATAGATTGCGACGTGAACAAAGATGGGTGTTTATTATGCCCAGACTTGGGTGAAATACTTTTTAAAAGTATTTAGAATAAATACTCGAATACTTATAAAAATAGTATGCCGAATATGTATTCAAATACTTTATACAAATTGTATTCCGAATACTTTTAAAATACTTCTAGTTTTCATACTATAAAAATAATAGATGTCCACTCAACAGAAATATTTGAAATTGTAGGCTAAATATATGTTATTTTATTGTATTTTTATATTACATAACTGTTATAGTTTATGGTTTACAACAATAATAAATTCCTGATATTAGCTTATACAAGATACGACGGAGAAGTAATAAAATTATTTAAAAAAGAGATGATTTAACGGTATTCGAAGTACAATATTCAAAATACTCGTTATAAGTATTCAAAATACTTTATTGAATACTTTCAAAAAAAGTATTTGAAATACATTCAAAATACTTAAAAAGTATTCCGAATATTGTATTCGGAATACTACCCAAGTCTGATTATGCCGAGTATACGGATGGCACGGCATAAGTCACCATATCAATTAAATCACCCAGCACTATCATTGTTTGGATATCATAAATAATTGAGAGTTGTAAAGTTATAACTAAGACCCGGAATTATATGCACTAAAAACGTACGAAATATGTATGAATTTATGCGATGGTTATCATTCAAATATGCACTCAAAATATGCAAAAATATGCAAACAAAAATGCATTTTTATTATTTATTAAATTTTAAAATGTATACAATTCATTAAATAATTAATATTCAACAAAAAATATACTTTAAAATATATTAACTGTATTTTATATATTTTATTGAACTGTATGGAACTGTATGTTGTATTGAAATTAAATTGTATTTTGAACACTCACTCATCTAAACAAAAAGTCACAAACGAAAATCAGTTTAAACAAATCAAGCGGATTTTTATAATATTTTTAAAGTTACTTGGAGAGTTACTATCGTATTGGTTCTTTTAGCAAACTATCTTATCTTAATATAACAGAAAATCAAATTATATAACTGCACGATTTACGAAATTTACGATGGACATGTGCCATGTAATAAATAATAATATTAATAACTTCATAATATTTTTTTCTTTATATGCATTATATTTCGAAAAATGCTAAAATATACATAATAATTTTAAATGTTCTAAATATGCAAAAAAAAATGCCAAATTTAATTTAGCATACCAACGCATTAGATTAAGATTCAAATTTCTGTCTTACCTTACAACTTTTTAGTTTAATATATAAAAATATGCAAACGCATACAATTCCGGACCCTAGTTATAACACTGTATTCAAGACTACCTGTTAAACTCGTTTTACATTAATTTAAAATAATTGTACTTTTATTTTAATAGATCGATAGATTATTCTCAGTCATTAATTATTATTTTATTTTTTTATTTACAGTTTTATGTAATTTAAATTAGGGTTAATAAAGGTGAATGCATTACAAAAAAAAAAAAAAAAAATTAAACTTAAATTATTTTTATAAGCTAAAATTTTAGGTATATAAGTATATGTAATAGTATTTTTTTTAGGAATATTATATTTTTTCTTAAGTTATAAGACATACATTCATATTTTGTATCATAAATATATTTAGCTTAAAAATACATTTTAGTTGAATTTTTTTTTAAATTATCCATTTTCTCCATAATTCGGGGTAAGTGCATTATCTGAATAAATATAAAATAGTTAATGAATAAGAAAAACAACGACGTGAGAGTTAAAGTTGGGCATAATCAAGTAAAAATAATCAAATAACTCTATTGTTGAAAATGTCAAAAAAAATTAATCGATAAGGAAAATACTAATCGATTATTTAACGGAGTGATTTTTCACGCAAATTATAGTAATTCAAGAACTTGTCACTCAACGTTTTGAGTAAGTATCATATTCGAAACTTCATTTTTAGAATTTTAAGTCCAAAACATCAATCAACGAAAATAATTGAATGAATTATTTTATTTATTAGTTATTATTTTATTACTTTTATTTAGAATATTTTATTTTAAATATTAACTCTTAAAACCCTAGATTATATAATATTTTTAAATAATAATTTAAATTTTTTTAATAATTAGACTCGTTAAATAAATAAATTATGATTATTAAATATATTAAGTAGAATTTTAATATTAATTCTTATTGTGGGTAATAATTTGTTCGGCTATGTTATAATATAAAAATATAAAAATAAAAGATAACATTATATTTTATGGAAAATTTTATTTCAAATTATGATTTTGAGTAACAATTAATAACTTATATTATTCCGGGTCTTTACATCAATTAAAAATTGCATGTGATTATTTCAAGTGATATTTCAATTATGAAAATATATTGATTAAAATATCCATGTATAAACTTAATGATTCCTTTTTTTAATATAGAAATTTAAATCAAGGTTATTTTTATCATATTCTATATTCTATTCTATATTAATCCTTTCACTTTGTATCTAAAATCACAAATATCGTAATAATAATCAATACTTGAATTTCAACTTAAATATATAATCTAAAAAATTGATCTTCAATCAGAACTTATACTTCGTATTCATTTTACCAAATTTTTTTAAAATTCTTTATATAACACTAATAATTTTCGTGTGTGGGTACCATTTAAAATAATACTCTCTAAAATGTGTGAAGAATGTCTATATTTTATGTAATAAAATCAAATTATCTTTTCAAATGTTTTATTTCATTTAGTTTGAAAATTTAAATAATTGCTGTATTTTAAAAATAAATGCATAGTAAAACCAACAATTATTAATGATGCATTAAGATGAGTGAATTAGATACCTAATTCATAGGTTTTAAAATAAAATATATCAAATAGTACATATAAGCACAGTTGTTGAACATTATTTCGATGTGTACCTATATGAAATATTTTATATTGGTAAGAAACGATTTTGAAAATGCATTTAGATATATTAATTAATAGCTAAATAATAATGTACCTCTATAAAATAAACGAACTTCATTTGTGACGCTTAAGTAGTCATTCCATTTAGTAGCATATGATATTTCTTCAGGTTGAAATACTCCAAAGTCTGCTTCTTCGTTAAAAATTTTTCTTAAACAATGCAGCCTATAAATGATAATAGTTTATTATTATTTTCTGCGTGGTTATGTTTACGTATTATAATTTTAAGCCATGTCAGCAAGATTGATTATTGTATTTGTTGTAATTTGATATTACATAAATTTATAAGGGCGTACACCGCCTGAGCGAATCGATCCAAAATATAGTCTGTTTGGGCGAATAAATATATACCGTTTGGGCGAATAGATATGTACCGTTTAGGCGAAGATTATTTAACTAAAAATTCCGTTTGGATGGTATAAAAATTCTTATAATATACACTCAAAAATTAATTAAACAAAGTTATATAAAATATAAATAATTAACAATAAGTTATATTTAAAAAAAATATTGATAATATTATATATATTATATAACTATGTAAGTAGTTAGTAATCTACAGCCAAAAAATTATAAATACAATTACATATAATATAATTAGTATATTTTAAAGTAATCTATTGGCTTTTGTATGAAAATGCTTATAATATACATTCAACAATTAATCGAAAGAAATCATATTTTTTTAATTTATTTATTATTTATTTTTTATTTTTTAGCTTTTATGAGCCATTTAGGCTCTTTGCTTCTAAAACCAAATCCCCCCATACTTCTCTTGTGTAAGCTAAATTCATGTTTCCGTTCCAATCCGATTTCAGCTCCTTTAGATCTTTTCTAACTACATCTATGAAAGAAATCATATAAAATATAAATAAATCGTAATTGATAATAAATTCTGTTTAAAAAAAAAAATATTGATATGGATATTAATAATATTATTATTTATAAGTCGGAAATAATTTACAGTCAAAAAATTAAAATAATAAAATAAAATTACAGATAATATAATTATTAGTAGTTTTTAAAGCAATCTATTGACCTGATATTTTAAACCTAAACATTTTATGTATTCTAATTGGTTAATATCTCCTCTTTTATATTTATTCCATGTTTCTAGTATAAAATCTTTATTTTTTATTAGCAATAATATTATCTGTCATCAGATTTTTACTTCACACAGGTAAAAATAATTTCACTCGTCTAAACGGACTATTATTTTTTTGGTCAAAATGATTATCTTCTCCCAAATGACCACTGCCCATTCGTAAAGCTTATTTATGTTATTACACAAATAAATACTAGGAAATATTTGAGAATTTAATTTTAATTGACAAATGGTCTGTTGAAACATTTTCTATAACTTTTATAAATATCTATAAATATCTATCTATACATCTAATCTAACTACGAACGAAAAAAATGTGTTCAATATTTGTAGAACCGTAGGAGTAAAAGAAAATTAATCAAATTATCCTCATTACGTTTTAAAATGTAATTCTACTTCGGTTTCATTAAGTTATTTTTTTTAGTTGTGTTAAATAAAATAATGTTATGTTATAATTATGGATTGTTTTTAATTATTAATGAACAATTTTAGGAGTAAGTACTCACTTATCATTCCCGAATACGCATTCAACTGGACTAGATGATTCATTTTTAACCAAAGGACAGTAATATTTTGTGCTGTCTCTTCCTCCGCTATTCGGCACAACACAAATCTTGTCTGAAATCGTTTGAAATGTATAATGTTTTTTGTAATTAATAATAAATAATTTTTTGCTTGATTTTGAAAGTTGGTTTTTTGATTTCATTCTTATAGAGATTAAAAAATACAATTTATAGCGTTAAACTTACATTTAATGTTAGCTTTAATGATAATCGGAAAAACGATTAAACACATTAAACTATTAAAATTTTGCATCGTCTTATATTAAGAACTATAATATTATAAATATCGAACATTAATAGTATATCATTATTTTAATTTGAATAACCATTGTAGTTACAATCGTTATGGATATGTTTAATCATTTTTTGGTCAGTGGCGTTTATTCACAAAACGATGTTTTTGCATTCACAGCTAAAATTGTACTAAATAATAAGCGATTAGATTAAAGTCGGTCAGCTATTATTTACTAAAAACTTGAATACGCATACGTCATGTACGTATAGTATAAAATGGGCCCGGTTAGTTTATTTCTCGTTTGCCTTGGTAAGAAGCACCATCAGCTGCTCTGTTGTTCTTTAAAACATAAATGTGCAATGGGTTATTCCAAATAATTACACACGCACAATGTGTATTCATATTATTGACTCCAGCCGTTGAGACATATCTGTGAATATCACTAAACAATGATATCGTATTGTTAATGTATTGTTTATATTTCCCATAAGAAATGCGAAAATATATTATATTTGTTATATTATTAACTAATATTTACAATAATATATACTCGTATATTTTATTTATGTGTGCATGGTTCACATTATAATATAGGTATTATTAGATAATTAATCAGACACTTTATGGTTTGACTGTGACAGGGATTATAAAAATAATTAAATGTTTTGACATGAAGTTAACATTACCTATTTAATATTTAACAACATGCATATATATGTATATGGTTTCTGTATGATTTATGTGGTATGTTACTATATTGTGTATTGATTTTTTTAATTATCAATTTTTAAAAATGTTCAGATTAATACTTTCGCGTGCTTTTGTCAGTATTTTTGATATTCAAAATATGACAATGATGATTATCATTAAACGAATACAATTTATTTATAACATAATCCTAATGATAATTTTGATTAATTTTAACAAATTATTACTGCCATTTTTGAATACTTTAAAGTACTAATCATAAACTAAATTATTATTTAAATTTAAGTTGTGAATTTCATGGACTCACATCATCACGATCCGCATTGTAGACATTTTGTTTTACTAAGGATTTGCTTATTTTCAAGGTTTTGATTAGAATTAAATCTTATAATTGCTTTTATAATCGTTGTTTTCTTCTTTTTTTTATGTAGAAATGATAATTTAACGAATTTGTTGTGATAACAATTTAAAAATCATAACACTTAAATTATTTTAAATAAAATAAATAAGGAAACAGTGAAGTATTGTGAAAAATACCAATTATACGCATACAGTAATATTATATACTCGTACATTCGTCAAATATCATATATTTTTATTGTGTCTGATTATGATATACAATAAGTGCTAAAAAATCATTAAAAGGATGTTTGTATTTAGTTTGGTGTAATATAGTACATATCCCCGTGTGATTTTATAATATAATTTAATGTGAAATATTCCGACTAAATTAATAATTATTATTATACTTGTGATTATTGCTGAAGCACTGAATCTTACGAATTAAATAGAAAGTGGTATCTATGTATTTTTATTGGCTTTTTTTTATGGATTTAAAATATATTTATTAAAATATTTAGCTTTATTTATTGACAAGTCATCATGAATATTTAATTTAAACGCTACTATACCTATGGGAATTCCTTCTGTAACTTATCAAACCTGTCAACATTATATTTGACACAAACTCTATGAATAATTATATATATACTACATAAAATATGTCGTACCTAGTGTGTCAAAAATAATTTTATTTGCTTATGTTTTCTAATATTATTATATTATTGATGTAATGTTGTTATAATTTGTTAATACACAGAAACATTAGTTGAATAGTCAGAGGTACCAACAGCTATGGTTGAAATCTATAAGTATAAATTTAGAAATTTAACGATGTTTAATACCAGATAACAATTATTATATCGATAAGATAGAGTATAGAGATGAACTTTAAAATTGTATGATGTAATTTGAAAATATATCATGGGTCAGATGAAAAAGGATCGTGGGCCGGATGTGACTCGCGGACCGCAAGTTGCTCATCCATTTTTTACACAAACAAAATTACGTTTACTTGGTGCAAAATGAAACAATGTGTTATATCTAATACTAACCAGAAGCACTCTAAATGAAATATGATTAAAAATCTCAGGACAGTTAACGATCCCATGTTCGTTTGTATGATAATATACAATTATTATAGTTGTATCATAAAATTGGACGAGTACTCCACTTTATAAGATTGTTGTAATGGTAAATACATGTACTTGATTTAACTCAACTTGAATCAAGTTACTCAAGTTTATTTCACTACTTTACTGAAAAATAAATGCAAAAACTATAAATAAGTATATTTTTGATAGAAACTACAAGGAAGGTCGATGGTTTAATGAATAACCATATATTGTTATTGGTTTTCTATTATAATAATAATGACATTTTAGGCAGATTAGTAACTAACATTTTTTTAGTTCTCAAATTTTGAATTCGACTAGACTAAAAATGTTGAAACTTATTTCCCGAAAAAATTGAAACTATCTAATCATTTTATTTTTAAATAAATTACAAAAAAAAGTGTTTTGGAATTACAAAATTCTTCCCCTGTGTATTTACTATTTTAATTTCTTTAGTTATAAGTATTTTATACACATCTTAAAATGTAATCTTAAAGAGCATAATAAATCAAAAATTATTTAAATATTAAATAGTTTAATGGGTTTATTAATCAGTATTTAATACAGTTATTATATTTTAACTGGTTTGTCAACGGGTTCCTTACCATGAGGTTGACCCGAATGACAGCAACACGTGCCCAAAATACTCCAAGGGAATAAATGGATTTTGTATGACAGACCGGGTGATTTTAGTACGAATAAGAAAACAAGAATGTGCCTTTTTGTTAAATGACGGGCCGTAAAGCGCCGACGTACTGTTATAAATAAATACTAATGACATACAGCATTAGGGACGGACGTCCGTAGGGTGGGAAATATAAAGCTAATAATACTAATAATAAACATAATACAAAATGTATAAACAGAGAAGCCGTATCGGCAATAATACAATGATATTTGTTAATACAACAATAATAAAAAGGAAAAGAAACCTGTCCGCGACGGATACAACTGGACTGGATTCGGCAGCACGTCCAAAGTGACGATAAAAAAAAGAACGATGACGCCCACGCAGCTTGACTCGTCCAGCCGTGACAATACCCAGCGGTAACACGCACACCGGCAAGACAAAGATGCACGGTCTTCGATGGACACAACCAAAAAAGGCAGGACGCTGGTAAAACACACAAACGTGCGAGAGGTCCGTACCGCACGGGAGCACTCACACGACAGCAAAAAAACCTTTTTGTACCGGTATATGTCACACGAACTAGTCAAGAGCCGGGAGGGGGAAGAATGTTCTCGCACAGACTTATAAATATCCAAATGATGGATAAGGATTAATTACTCGAATCGATATGGCGTGTATTAATTGAACATAACAGTTAACAGTTACTTATTTTATTTATGAAAGGTACAAGTACGCGTCGATGTTGCACAACCAACGGTTAGCGGTTATGACCGCATACCGGTTTTAGCTGTTACGGTAATTTGTCTTGCTACTGGTTTCTTCTTGATTGCAAGCGTTTGAAACGAGAACTTCATTAAACGTCGAGTCACTTTTTTTGTGTGACATTGTCGATTGCTGCTGTTTATTTATTCCTGTGCGTCTTACCGGTGATTTTTGTTCGCCCTTGTCAGCTGTTGCCATCAAGGACTAGACTAGGGTTACCAACCGTCAAGTTTTCGCCTGGACAGTTCAGAATTTCTGAGTCCTGTTCAGTGTACAGTTATACCTTTTAACTGGACGCCATAAAATATTAAATGTCCAGGTTTTTCCTAAGTCCTTCGATGTATTTATGCAATAGCAACAAGTAGGTATTAATTTTTAGATAATATAAGTGTACAAGTATATACCTTCTATACATAAATCAATAATCATAGTAATAAAAATGATAAAATATCCGATACAATTCTTATCGTTCATGTATGGACTTTAATACCTACCTACAACGACGACTAATTTAAAAAAAAAGACAGTCGTCACTTGTTGGTTCATATTTGTCATTTGACGTGAATTTGCGTGTATAATATTTTGTTTAAAATGCCGAGTAGTGACAAAGTAGATTGAGTAGTAACAATTTTAATAAAAATAGATGCTCCTAATTTATTGAAAATAATAGAATATATTTTTGCTGTTTCGCCAACAAATGCATTTGTGGAACGTATTTTTTCGGCAATGAAAAACTTATGGACTGGCGAGAGGAATCAACTCAGTATAGGAATTATTAAAGCAGAAATTATGACAAATTTCAATTACAGTTGGTCGTGTCAAGAATTTTATGAATTTTTGGAAACAGAAAGTGGTTATCAATTCATAAAGGCGGTAAAAAGCGAAAAAAAAAATACAATTTTAAAAAGCAAAGTATCACTTAATTAATATAGGTACATTAAATGTATATAATATATAATCAAAGGCGTATTTAAGTTGAGACCATAGGGGGGGGGGGGGGAAACTAATTTTTCTTCAATACAAACTTAAAAATAATTTACAGTTCATTACAGGGACGTACTCGAAGGAGGGGGGTCAGATCCAGACCCCCCCCCCAATTGAAATTTCTTCATACTCAACGGTTAAATAGTAAATAGTTTATAGTGTATTTTAATTTTCCATTATTTTCAATATACAAAGTTTATAGTTTATATAATATACCTATAATGTATAAACTATGTTTAATTTATTCTGCTTTTTTAATAATATTTATTATTGTTAATTAAATAATGTACCCTCAGGGGGGGCACTATGTATTTAGTGCTACGGGCTTAGCAGACCCGGGGCCCCGAGCTACGGACTGAGTTTAATTAGTTGGCCCAAACTGATCCTCCAGATTGGGGGGTTTGAGCGACGGGCTAACAACCCGTCTTCTTTAAAAACCAAACTCTTGTTAAGAAACTTCAACAAAAGCCTCGGACTATGGATAAAAATGGATCACGAAATGGAAACAGGACCCGGAAAGATTTGGATTTACGGATTGGAACATGGAATATAAGAACGCTTTTTAAACTAGACGCACTGAAATGTATGATGGATGAAATCATAAGATATAAAATCCCCATAGTAGCCATACAGGAGGTTCGATGGCTCAATAGTGGTAGCATACAAAGTGGCAAATCAATAATTTTCTACAGCGGTCTACAAACAGGTAGATATAAGAAGGGAGTTATGTGTTGGCTTTATGATTGACAAAGCAGTGATGACTTAAGTTATAAAATTTGTGCCAGTGAATGAACGTATCTGCTGCATACGAATCGTGCAACAGAAACTAGATTTAATAATATTGAACTGCTATGCAGATGACGAGGAAAAAAATAGTTTCTATGATACGTTAGAAGCAACTTTTGATCTATTGCCCAAAAACTGTATAAGGTTAATTGTCGGAAATTTAAATGCTCAAATTGGAAACATCATTTGGACAAACGATTGTAAAAGAAAACTGGCATCCTACCACAAATGGCAATGGTCACAAAATAGTTGATTTTTGTTCTTCAAAAGACCTATAATTAGCAGCATCTATTCAGCATCATCTTCAAATTTTATCGGTTATGTTTCGTGTAAGTTTCAAGTCATGCTCTCAGTGCCACAAAATTCATTAATTTCGAGTGTTTTTCAATTTTGTGTGGTGGCACTGGGGCATTTTATCTTCATTGTGGTGTCCGGCGGCCTTAGCCTTCGTGGTGAATGTCGTCGGCCCCATCTCGCTCTCGTTTCTGTGTCTTCGTGGTGTGCACATCAAATTTCGTTTTCGTTTTCAAGTGTTCGTACGTCCGCAGCCATTTTTTTGTACAAACCACGTTGTCAAATAGTGTCATTTTGTTTGTGAATCGACCGTCTGGTAAAGTATCGTTCGAGGCATTCTGGTAATGTCCAGCAATTAATTCATTGTCGTTTCAGTTTGCCAGCGGTCGCGTTGTGATTGACGTGGTTTTCGTTCACTGTTTCATTGTCCAGGGCTGTGGAGCGTGGCAGTTTTTTCGTTGGTGACTGTGCTTGAGTGGTCGCACGTACCAATTCTGTGATTTATTTTCATTTATACACTGCGGTGTGCCATCATAGGCAATTGTCTGATCACTGGGTTGGTGCGGTCGCGTGAATGGAATCAGCCATTTCAACATAGTCACAAGTGAGTATTGGTCGACCAATACTGGGTAATATACGTTTTAGAATTAACCTTTCTAGTATTTTAGCAAAGAATGATAAGTTTATTTGGTTTAGGGACTAATATTATAGTTGAAAATTTCCAGAGTAGAAAAAAATACGAAAGTCTAAGAATTGCATTGTATATGTGTGAGATGTGGACGATGGTTCTTTTTGGGAGACTTCTAGCTACTTCAGAAGTTATAAGATCGAAGCCAGGTGATTTATTCAGAGAGCTTTTTTGAATGGTATATTTAATATCGTTTGGAGTGAATGGTTTGACTGGTAAAGAGACGGGAAGAGGAGAATTAAGGAACTCATCGACCGTATTCAAATGCGCATCATCACTTATATTCGAGTGAGGCTGGAATGTGTTAAATAGATGAAGCTTAAAAAGATCAGCCTTTTCAGTGTCCGAGCACGCTAAACTGCCATCAGATTTTTTGATTGGGAGATTTGGTGCTTTATAACGTAATATTTGTTTTGTTGTTTTCCATAGAGTACCTTCCTTTGGTGAAAGATTGGATAGATGGTTTTGCAAGGCTGTAGATTTAAATTTGACAAGAATTTTTTTCAGGGAATTGGATAAATGGTTATAATTTTGACGGTGGGAAGGAAGACGAGTGCGTTGATAGAGGGCTCTGGCTCTTCGCTTTTCAGAAATTTTTGTAAGTATATACAACGGAAGCGATTCTAGGATAGAAGGGGGTGAATTTGTGTTTGTAGCCGACCAGGCAGCTCTTTGAATGATATTAGTTAGATTATTTACCGCTAAATCTATGTCTTCGGGTGTTTTTAGTTTGATATTTAATTGAATTTCTGCATTTACAAGATCGTGAAATTGATGGTGATTTGTAAATTTATTAAAAAGTTGTGGTGATTCTTTTTTGGTAGGAGTTGTATTAAGGGTTAGAAGAACAGCGGAGTGATCTGAATTCAAATCAAGGATATTTTTAGTGGTGCAATATAATTTATTTGGGATTTTGGACACAAAGATATCTAATATATCTGGATTTTTTGAGGAGGAGGATGGCCAATACGTTGGTCCCGGTGGAGCTAATACTTTAAATCCTTTAGTGTTTATAAAATTATATAATGTAAGACCACGCGGATTATTCACACGGCAACCCCAAGACTGATGTTTGGCATTGTAGTCGCCGCCTATAATAAAGTTATTTTTAATTGTGTTAAAGTACTCCGTGAATTGTGTGTTAGTGAGATTGTGTTTTGGAGGAGAGTATATTGATGCAACAGTGAGTGAAGTATTATTTACAATAAGACTGATGGCACAAGATTGAAGAAAATCTTGACAAACGTTTGGTAAAGGATGAAAAACAAGTGTGGATTTTACAAATATAGCAACGCCCCTATGCGCGGTGTTATCTGGATGGTTAGTTTTTATTAAAGTATACCTAGGGATACGAACATAAGAATATTTAGTGAAGTGGGTTTCTATTATGAGCGCAATATCGATGCGCTTATTATTTAAAACAGTTTCTAGTTCAAGGGCGTGATTTTTAAGTCCATTTGCATTGAATTGAAGTATTAAGAGTGAGTTGTCAATGACAGAATTTTTATTGTTAGAATTAGGCATTGTTTTTATCTATTAAGCTGGAGATTAATTTTGTGAGAAGAGATAACATAGGATGGATGAGAGATTTAAATTCGTCAAGAAACGATGACAACGTTTTATTTATGTTAGGAGCATTGGTTTCTGGAGCAGTTGGTATACTATTATTGGTGTGCGTGTTGTGCGTAGCCTGAGCATATGTTTTTGTTAGAGGTGGAGGTTGACTAGGTAAAGTATGATCAGGAAGGTGGCTACCTTGTACATTTATAGGTTTAGATCTAAGGTTATCGTGTATAAAGTTACTTGTTGGGTTGCGTCTTTTCCGGCGTTGAATCTCTTTGTAAATTGAACAGCCCTTGTAGTTGGCTGGATGGTTTTCTGAACAATGTGCACATTTTGGAGGAAGATAACGTGAGTTAGGGCAAACAGAAGACTGGTGCTCGTCACCACAGCGGACACATCTGGATTTATAGCCACAATATGCTCTAGTATGGCCATATTGTTGGCAATTGAAGCATTGGCTAATAGTTTTTGATCGCAGTTCTGTGATAGCAGTCAACCGGTGCGCACGCGTTCTCTCTGTGCGCCTCCAATGTGTTTACTGTTCTCCTTACCTACCTCAAATTTCACGAATTTGCTTACGGGTTGTAATGTTACTCAACTTCCTTCGGTTTTTTGCGATTTTTTAAGTTATCTTATTCACTTGCTCCGTTACAATCATACAACACAAATAAATATTTCGCAAACCGCCAGGTGCGTGTATACGCGATATACCGTATACGTCGTTCTTATCAAGTGCCGCCACGGCGGCCTTGTAGTAATTGTAATTACTATTATATTAATAAATACGCTATCGCTGTTTAGTACTTCGATTCTACCGTAATTAAACTAATCACAGTTCTACCTGAAAATGGCAAATCATAATAATAAACCTTCTACCTCGTCCACAAACGTAAATAAAAACATTGGATCTCTTTCAAACAAAAATACAAACAAAACTAACAGTTCTTCAGACGGCGAGTGGAAAACTCAGCAAAAATCAAAAAGAATCCACTCGGACTCCTCAGTATCTGATAATCCTACATCACCTAAATCCCAACAAACACGTAAAAAATTATTTTCTACAACAAATCGATTTGAAGTTCTCTCTCAAAATGTTAACATAGACGAAAACTTGGACGACAAACTTATTGATTTATAACTGCCGTTTATTCCAGATACAATCAAACCACCTCCTCCTATATTCGTCAAAGGAGTTGAAGACTTCCCCGAACTTTGCCTGACCTTAATCGAACTTATTGGTGTCGATAACTTTATATGTAAATCTACGACTGATTGTTTAAAAATCCAAACGACGAACCCTGCTGCATACAGAACATTAGTGCACTTTCTTAGAGATGAAAAAGCTGAGTTCCATACGTACCAGCTCAAGGAGGACAAGCCTTTACGAGTCGTTATTCGTAACCTCCACCCAATCACACCATTAAATTTAATCAAAGAAGAGTTAACTGTTCGCCTATTCGAGGTAAGGCAAGTAACTAATGTTCTCCATAAGGTAACAAAAAACCGCCTCCCCCTCTTCTTCGTTGATCTAGAGCCTACTACTATTGCAAACGAAATCTTCAAACTTACATCGCTATTGCACACCAAAATCAAAATAGAAGAACCGTATAGATCAAAAATATAATATATTAATTTTTTTTTTAATACTTATATAAATTCTACTATATAACAATATTATACGTATGCTTAAAATATATTATTTATTTATAATTAAATTACTGCTATATTTCATGCTGACGATATGTATACTGGCGATATTTTTTCCATGCGATATAATGGTTTCGTAATATTTTAGTTGCGATATTTTGTCGGTGGTTCTTAAAATATACACTTATACTTTTTTATTTTTTACTGCATACTATATTTGTTTAAGGTTGGACTTGCGTTCGAGAGTTTCAGTAAATAGTGCATAGGAAAGCACTTTTACAGGATTTTATACTAATCTCTTAAACTCAAAGATTTTTATTTATTTATTTCGTATGGCAATTACCTTGTAACTCAAAGATATACAATAATTATAAACGGAATTGATCGTAAAATCCTTTACTAAAAAGTACGGTTCCGGTGAGGTTTCGGTTTTTGATTAAATTTTATTAAGAATTCCAAGGAGATTCCGGTTTTAAAAATTAATTGAAATTAGGTGTCCGGTTAGGTCCCGGTTCCCAAAATGTAAAGGATTCCGGTTCTAAAACAGGTTTTTTTTGGTACGATTCCTGTCCCTGGTTGCCGTGAATTAGTTCCTGTGCATCCGCACCATCGATCGTCGTGCGTTCAACATCGTAACCTTTGTGATCATCATCTGTCAACATCCAACGCGAATAACACCATTTCATAAGAATTTTTTGTATATGATTAGAACGGAACGCTGAACATAATATATTTATCTTATTCACATATGTAACTGTATGCATGGACCTAAAGTTTCCGTGCCCTATATATATGACGAAATCCGCATAATTGTGCTATTCGCTTCTTACTCTTTATCCTAATCAGTTCATTAATCATCCATTCTTTTTTTTTATTTCCTTCATACTTTGTTTTAGCTAAAACTAAATAATACAATCGGCGACGCGTCGGTTTAGTGTCGTTTCGCACAATTTATTTACCAGTTATTATTTATCAATGATAAATTACTATATATTTATATTCTATGATGATTAGATTGTAATCATTTTATTTACTACTATATTTTTCGATTGATTTTTCAT